CCTTTACAGGACATACTGTATAAACAGTGTTTTTCAGCACTCAATGTGCTGTTTAATAACAGCTGTAAAAGACCACCTGCTTTTCTCTGATGCCATCACAGAAATTTGCTGGTGAAAGTGATTCAGTGTTTTAACATGTAGCTGCCAGAATGACTTTCCTGTTACTTGTCTGTCAAAGGCTGTGAATGAACTTTAGATCTCATTCGACATTGACATTAAGTAATTCAAAACCTTCTTGGATTTATTTACCTTTATAAACACACTCTCAGGCCCTTTTTCAGGATGCTGCATGAGATTTGTATTTTTTTCTAGGCTTTATTCTTCATCTTTGAATTTTGTAATGATTATGCTGGCATTCACTATACTTTAAGTACATGGAATTGACTGACACCAAACTGAAACTTTTTTTTGAACGAAAGCTGACAATGTATGTTGCGTCATGTTTCATATCAAATCATATTTTCTAACTTTTTTGGTTTTGTAAAGACTTTTCGGACCCTCTGTATAAATGTATTATATGGCAGCTTGGGATAACACTGTTTTCTTGTGAATAAAAATGTCCTTATACGTCTTGGTCTGTCCAATTTTTCCTAGATATTTCATTAATATTTATTTCATTATTTAGATGTGTTTCATAAGAAAGGGGTTGGTAACAGGCTAATTTGTGTTTTCTGAAGAACATTTTCTGAAGAAAACTCTTCAAAACATGCAAATTCTAGGGTGTTGTGGGTTAGCATTAGCATTAATAGTCATAAAATCTGCAAACATCAGTAATATTAATATGAAAATTATATTTGTATATGATATATTAATTTAAAATATTATTACATGAATATATGATTGCAGTCTTTTTAGTGAGGTCCATTGCTTTGCTATCAGGTTTGTATTTTCACCACTGATTGGACAATATTTTGTGGCACACTGCAAAACAGCGTGACTGTCACACCTTCTAAAACAACCAGGGCAGATTTTGGTGTCTGAATATGTTTAATATAATTGTCATGTCAGCAAAGCATCCCTAACTGTTTGTTTGTAAATAAAGAACACTTGTGTTATTGAAAATGCCTTTCAAATATGGTAAATGTCAAGGACAAACATATGGCTAAAAACGTGATCATAAACTAGTTTAGTTTCTTTATAATATATCTGCCAGAACTTGTTTAGTTCCATTTTTATCTATCGTGCCTTATGAAATCGTAAATATTTTGTCTGTTGAGTATTAATAAACACAAAGTTGAAATTTCATCCAATACCAAGCTGCTATTTAAACACAGTGGAATTCCAGTTTATAAATCAATCATTCTAGTTTAGTTTATCCATCTTGGTAAACACAGCAAGTACTATATAAAGAATGAAGAATATGTCAGCAATCCACCGATGTTGGAGAGAAATATAGAAGGTGATGAGCTGTGTCGGCAAACCAGCACAGCACAGATTCACAAAAAAACACATGCACATGCATTCAACATGGTCCTGTCACCTCGTCATCCTGTTGCGTTGCCACCTGCTCTGATTTTCACACACAAGTAGTCTATTTGATTGGTCGTACACATAAATGCACACACACTTGAGCACACATGCACAAACACACACATTTACCTGTCCATGGGGGTGATTACTGCTAAATGCACAGCTCACGTCTTGCAATTTATCAACCTAACAATCTAAGATAACACTTTGGCTTTCTTCTACAAAGAGGTTGCGTATGGTTCAGGTATTTTTCAGTGCACACTGCACATCCAAAATACACAAGGCCATCATTTAAAATAAAATGCAGGTCTTTAACCAAGCTGCAAGCATGCTAATGCTTGCTGGTTAGGTTGTACATATGTTGACATCTCCCTGGCCCTATAATTCCCCCAGCCTTTCTGTCTTCATTCCACTGAAAGCCGCAGTAATGATTTGGCTATTGTGTTGCAGCAGCTGGTCACTGTATCGCTAATCAAATCTGTAGCCTTTAGCCTAGCTGGCCCTGAGTGCTTTTTGACAGCAGGAAAGAGCGCCAAATCACTCCAATGACAATTATTGAAATGTACACACAACCTATTCTGGGATACTATTTCCTATTTCTGTGTCATTTATTACTGGTATAATCACCATAACTGGGAGTGACAATAGGACTACATAGGTTCTGGGCATATTACCAAAGGATTGTTTTGATACTTTAAAGCGTATGTGTTTTAATTGAGTAAACTGGTCTATTTAACCTGTTAAATATATTTAAAGTGACATTTCTGTTATATGTCTGTTTATTATTGTTAATTTCTTCACCCTGATGTCTTTCCAAACCGAAATGCTTACATTTAGGAATTATATACTTCAATACCTAAAGTTATAATATGGTTTTAGATGGTTTGGAATATGGTGTACAAATCATATGAACTTGTTTTTAAGGTGTGTTTTTAAGAGCCTCTGAAACCTTCCATCTCCCCCAGTTCCACCTGTCTAGATCCTATCCTGTCTGACAGATTTATGTATGCATATTTATGCAGTGGCAACATATCTTACATGCTCACTGCGGTCTGTCTATGTATCTATTGACAGTAGCATGTCTATACTTGATTTGCTGCAGCAGCAGTGTATGTAGTAGATGTAGTCTGCCAAGATCAAACACATTAATATTGTCATTTTCATTTACATGCTAAAACTGTTCTGAGAGTTGTCATTAATCTATTTCAAGTCTGTATGAACTAGAAGTTGTGAACAACTTTCAGTATTATTTTTATTTTATTTTATTAATGTGGCATATATTATAGAATAGTATCCATAAAAACGTGTGTGTGTGTGTATATATATATA